GATCAGATTTTCCAGGTTACATTACAGATAAAAGACAGTCAAAGTGAAAAAAAAACTGACGAAATATAGGTGATAAGTCCGTTATAAAAGAAGATATACTGCAGGCAGTTTGGTGTTAAACCAGGAATAAAAGAGGATAATATAACTTTAGAAAGATGTGAGAGTATGATGAAATAATTGATAATGTTTAGAAAATCAAAATACTATGTTTATGAGAGGATTTGTGAAAAAATGCATAAAATACAGCAAATAGGGAATTGTTTACTACCTAAAGGTAAATTAGCATTAACAACTACATTATAAGAAATGAGAAAATACTGAAAATATTCAGAAATGAGAAAACTTAACTGGGATTTGGCAGACTTGAAAAAAAGTATATTGGCAAAATGAAAGATAAATAAAAAGATTTGAAAATATCGTACAATAAGCACATGGGATAGGGAATTTATGGTTACAATTGGTTAAAAAAAGGAGTTGGTGTTGGCCATCAGGTGCGTCTCTTGTCAGACACTCCTCTCTCTCTCTCTCTCTCTCCTCATCTCTCTCTCTCTCTCTCTCTCCTCTCTCTCTCTGTTTACACAGGTTTTGCAAGTTTGGTTTAGGTCCCTAACATTTATTTACAAATAAGAGCTGTATACATCACTCATTTGGAAAACTTTGTATTGTTAAGAGATGTACATTAGTGAACAAGATGAAGTTGGAGCCATCCGTGGGCAGCGGTTTCATTTGGTTTAACAACTTCATTTTGTGATGTCGTTATGCTGTACGGACAAGTGTACGGTAGACTCGAAGTCATTCTAAAATAAATGACCTCAGATTAAGCATGTTCTGGAGAAGAATAAAGTCAGAGTATAATAATAATAATAATAATAATAATAAAAATAATATAATAATAATAATAATTTTATTTCTACAATACATGTAAAAGGTAATACAGGCCTAAAATGATATCAATGAACATAATAAATATAGAAAGCCCCTTGTTATGCAGTAGCATTTCGGGCACATTAGGTCACTTCTCTCCCATGAGCGACCCACACCAGTCACTAACCCCATGTTCCTGTTGTAGAACTCAATTCTACACGCTCTCTCCTCCTCTCTCTCTCTCCTCTCTACTGCTCTCTCTCTCTCTCTCCTCCATAAGTAAGTCTATAAACCTATAGTCCTAGGGTGCCTTTAGTAGCATAAAAATATGATGATTCCAGATATGAAGTGACAACCAAGAGCTTCGCAGAATTACTTGACTAATCACTACCAACAAAAAGCACCTGTCTGCAACATTCGTGCCCTTTGTATAGTATGCCTTTGTTCAAATATAAATTCGTTCCATCACTCAACTTCTAGTAAGTATTCTGTATTAATCACAAGAAAACCATCACTAAGACACAGTTTGTATGATTTTAAATGACTGAAAGAATAGGAGACATGTTGTTTTGCAGAGTTATTCCATACGTACTATTGTTTTCCAGGCAAATGTTGTCATAACTAGCTTCTGTGGCATTATTATTGTCTATTTTCACTACAACGCTACTAATTATTGCTACTACTTCTACTAAAAATAATACATCTCGAATAATGCCACTATAATAATAATAATGATAATACATCTCGAATATTGCCACTAATAATAACAATAATAATAATTATTAGTAAAAATTATATTAATCGTATAATTAATAATAATAAAAATATAATAATAATAATAATATAGTAGTAGTAGTAGTAGTAGTAGTAGTAGTAGTAGTATTAGTAGTAATAATAATAATAATAATAATAATAATAATAATAATAATAATAATTCACCTCAAAAAATGCCGGTACAACAACAATAACAAGTTTATACTGGAAAACACAGAAAACAATATATAAAACATGCACTGCGTGTTCGCTCGTGCCGATGAAATTTTGGTTTATAATTTACATAAAGTAAAGTAAACCTGTTAGCATTGACCTGTATATTTTATTAGCTATGAATACATATGGATTGCAGTTTAGGGTAATGGTTACACGGTGAGTCAGTACCAGCAAATTTTGTTGAGAATAGTTTTTTTTTTTTAGTTTAATATGTTTATTATGCACCCCATACCCATCCTGTGGGCGGTAGTCAAAAGATTACAGAGGTACATAATGGGTCCAGGGGCTGGGCCTCAAGTTTTGATTGCTGAGCAAGTTACAGAGGTAATGAATTCACAATTTACAAAGGTAATGAACTCACAATTTACAAAGGTAATGAACTCCAGGTAGGTCTAGTCACAATCATGACAAGTTACAAAGGTATTTACAGATTACAGAGGTACACAATGGGTCCAGGGACCGGGCTCCAAAGTTTTGATGGCTGAACTAGGTACAAGGTAATGAACTCACAAGTTACAAAGGTAATGAACTCACAAGTTACAAAGGTAATGAATACTGTAAGAATGGTTACTTACGTTTATACATGGCTGCAATCATGAACAAATTTTAGAGTAATGAGCAATTCACACTTCCACACCCGGTCACAACTGTAGTGAGTTATTGGTGCAAATGTTGATTGCTGAGTCTCTATCTCACACACACACACACACACACACACACACATACAAATTCATACACACACACACAAACACACACACACACACACACACACACACACACACACACACATACACAAACTCATACACACACACGCACACACATACACACACACACACACACACACACACACACACTCACACACACACACACACACACACACACACACACACACACTCACACACTCATACACATACACACAAACACACACCAGTGATGTATAATCCACCACAGAACTGCAGGAGGCCAAGAGAGGAATATGAAGAGAGCAACAGAGCAATGGGGGACACACTTGCTGAGGTGGCAAGAAGAGCTCACCCCAGCAGGAAAGTTGCTGGGTTTTGGGTTTCAACCCAGGAGATTGCTGGGGAAAAACCCAGCCCCATGG